AGAAAGGTAGATTGGGGAAACAGATTGGGGATCCGTCATCTTTCTTTCTTCGCTGGATGACTCAGTGGAGAAAGAAACGTAAGTTGGATGTTTGACCTCCATCGAATCATCATCTTCTTCACTTACCTCCAACCACAACTACTGTAACAACGTGATTTTTCAAAACAAAATTTTCATTTCTTAAAACATGTTTTCAACAAAATCAAGCCATAAAAATCCAATGTATCATATCATAATACAAAACATATCAAATGCCAAGATCATAAAATAAATCCTCCATCAGTGTGTACAGATTACACCAGCGCCTTCCCACGGTCCTCGCTAGTACCTGAAACACATAACATAACAACTGTAAGCATAAATGCTTAGTGAGTTCCCCAAAATACTACTTACGCACATACGCCTTTCCATGCCATGACCTTCCGGTCCATGTGTCTCAGGGGACTTCCGTCCCGACCCGGCAAACCTTCCGGTCCTACCCGCATCGACCTTCTGGTCCACATCACAATGCCTTCCGGCCCATGACATAAATGCCTTCCGGCCCATACCAAGCATAGCATACATAACACATACAAATGGTTAACTTAATTATATATAATGCATACAGCTCATAACATATCCGACCTTCCGGTCACATATACATACCCTTCCGGGTACAATATACTGAGAAGACTCAGCTCGTAGGAATTCTAGAATCTCACGTGCTCGCTATCTCCGAATCTCAAAACGATGACCCAACCCCGCCTAATCATAACGAAATATCATTCTAATTAATATAGGCTTCCAAGACTAGGCTACACCCTTTTCATTATCCCACGGAGGGGTAAAAGACCATTTAACCCCTCCTTGACTCAAAGTCCACATGTTGACCAAAACCCTAAAATTCAACACAAGTCAACAAACCATAGTACGTGGGGCGTACCAGCTTCTGTACGCGGGGCGTACATCGATGAACCACAATCGGGGGTCTCAACCCCTTACGCTGTGCATACTGGGAGTTACGCCCAGCGTAAGTCCCAGATTGATCCATACCATATTTTTTTGTCTTAAATGGTTAAGACACTCCTTAAACTTCCAGATCTGGCTCTCTTTAAGTCTCCTAACCCATAAAATCGGAACCTTTAAGCCTTGGCATGGCTGTAAAGGCTCCTACACCCTCTAATACCTTTCTTTTCACCTCCAAAGATCTAGATCTCATGCATGGTTAAGTATTTACGTCCAAGATTACATTTTTATGAACATACAACTCAAATAGACCTGGAATATGATAGATCTAAGCCAATGGATACTACTTGCTCATAAAGTCTCCATCTTTGGGACCAAAAACCCTAGAAATTGGTCCAAGAAGCATACCATAAGAACTACAAGGCAAGATTTGAACTTTTTACCTCAGGAAGAAGCTCCAACCTTTGTTATCCACGGATCTACACTTGTCCACCAACTTCTAGCCTCCACAATGGACTCCTCTTCTCTTTTGCTATCTTGAAATAACACCTTGAAGCTTAGAACACTCACACCCAAGCTATAAACGAAGGAACAACTCTCTTAAGGTTTCTTTATGAAGGATGGTGGCTGAGGGACAAGGCCATCTCATTCCTTTTATAGCTATCAAGCCAAATTAGGGTTTTGGGTCTGGACCGGTTACGCCCGGCGTAACCATAGGTAAGCCCAGCGTACCCAGGTGACAACGCGTTCAATTAGGCGCGCGAGTACGCACATCGTACTCTTTGTACGCCCAGCGTATTCGCCCAACACAAAGGCCAAAAATGACAATTATTAAAAGATGAAGGGCTAAATGATTGAACCTGAATTTCAGGCTGTTACAATTCTCCCCCACTTGAACCAGACTTCACCCCTGAAATCTTATAGCGAAAACAATTCCGGATGTTGCTCCCGCATTTCCAACTCGGACTCCCATGTCAGCTCGGACCCCTTCCGATGTTGCCACTGCACTTGCACCAAGGGCACTTCCTTGTTCCTCAGAACCTTAATCTTTCGATCTCTAATTGCCACCTGTCTCTCAACATAGTTCAGGCCTGCATCCACCTAAATATCCTCTAATGGTACCACTGCCGACTCGTCTGCAATACACTTCCTCAACTGCGACAAATGAAAGGTGTCGTGAATCTGACCCCGTTCGACAGGTAGATCTAAACGGTAGGCTACCCTGCCCACCCTCACGATTACCCTGAAAGGTCCAATATATCGAGGCCCCAACTTGCCCCACTTCCTGAATCGAATCCCTCCTTTCCAAGGAGATACCTTTAAGAGTACAAGGTCACCAACCTGAAACTCAAGCTCGGACCGACGCCTGTCCGCATAACTCTTCTAGCGACTCTGAGCGGTCTAAAATCTCTGCCTGACCTGCTGTATCTGCTCTGTCGTCTGAAGCATAATATATGTACTACCCATTACCCGTTGCCCCACCTTTCCCTAGCAGATGGGGGTCCGACACGTCCTCCCATACAACAGCTCAAAGGGTGGCATACCAATGCTCGAATGATTGTTGTTGTTGTACGAAAACTTTGACAAGGGTAAATAGGTGTCCCAACTCCCTCCAAAATCGAAAACACACGCTCAGAGCATATCCTCGAGTGTCTGAATCATCCGCTCACTCTTTTCGTCCGTCTGTGGGTGGTATGCGGTATTGAAATGCAGCCTCGTACCCAACTCCTCGTGAAACTTCTTCCAAAATCTGGAAGTAAATTGTACGTCTCGATCTGAAACAATCGACATCGAAACCCCATGCCGCGATACCACGTTCCTCACATACAACTCTGCCAACCTCTCAGCAGAAGAGCTCTCACTGATAGCAAGAAAATGAGCGCTCTTCGTCAACCTATCCACAATCACCCAAATTTCATCGACTCCTCTCGCAGTCCTTGGAAATTTGGTGATAAAATCCATGGTAATTTGTTCCCATTTCCACTTGGGAATCTCCAGCGGTTGCAGCTTACCATGCAGATGCTGGTGCTCGGCCTTAACCTGGCGACAAGTTAGGCACCTCTCGACGAACCATGCAACATCCCTCTTCATACAGGGCCACCAATACTCCTTCTTTAGGTCCAAATACATCTTAGTAGCCCCGGGATGGATTGAGAACCTCGATCGATGTGCCTCTTCCATCAAAATGGTACGCGTCCCGACCACAAACGGTACCCAAATCCGACCCTGAAATGTCATAAGTCCCCGACTATCGGTAACGAACTCCAATACCTGCCTGACAACCCGCTCCCGCTTTCGGTTTTTTGGTCTCACAGCCTCAGCCTGGGCCCCTCGGATGGTGTCCAATACCGGAGTCATCACCGTCAACCTCATACAAACGTCTCGGATCGGGGCGCTCTCCGTCCAATGGCTCAAAGCATCGGCTACGACATTGGCCTTGCCCGGGTGGTACAGGATCTCACAATCATAATCCTTCACCACATCCAACCATCTCCTCTGGCGCATATTCAGATTTGGCTGATCCATCAAGTACTTCAGACTCTTGTGGTCCGTGTATATGGTACACCGAACCCCATATAGATAGTGCCGCCAGATCTTGAGGGCAAACACCACAGCCCCCAACTCTAGATCGTGGGTGGGATATCTCAACTCATGAGGCTTCAGCTGCCTCGATGCATACGCTATAACGTACCCCCTCTGCATAAGCACTGTCCCTAACCCAGATATTGATGCATCACAATATACCACAAAATCCTCCATCCCTTCCGGGAGTGTGAGCACCGGGGCTTCGCACAACTTCTGACGAAGTGTCTCAAATGAGGACTGCTGCTCCGGACCCCATGAAAATGCAACACCCTTCCGGGTCATCTTGGTAAGTGGCACGATGATCTTGGAGAAATCCCTAATAAACCTACGATAATAGCCGGCCAATCCCAGAAAGCTCCTGATCTCAGTGGGTGATCTCGGCACCTCCCAGCTCATCACTGCCTCAATCTTGGTCGGATCGACCAATATCCCTTTCTGGTTAACAAGATACCCTAGGAATTGGACCTCTCGTAACCAGAAATCACACTTGGAGAATTTGGCATACAACCTCTGCGATCTCAGAACTCCAAGGATCTCCCTCAAATGTTCCTTATGTTGCTCTCTAGACCTCGAATATACCAAAATATCATCAATGAATACGATCACCGACCGATCCAGCATCGGCCTGCACACCCTGTTCATGAGATCCATGAACGCAGCTGGGGCATTGGTGAGCCCAAAAGGCGTCACCACAAACTCGTAAGGTCCATAACGAGTTCTGAATGCAGTCTTCTGGATATCTTCATCCCGAACCCTCATCTGATGATAACCCGACTTCAAGTCTATCTTGGAGAACCAAGATGCCTCAAACAACTGATCGAACAGATCATCGATCCTAGGTAATGGATACCGGTTCTTGACCGTCAACTTGTTCAAATCCCAGTAATCAATACACATCCGGTGTGAACCATCCTTCTTCTTGACAAAAAGGATCGGCGCTCCCCAAGGTGAGCTACTCGGTCGAATAAACCCCTTTCCCAACAACTCCTGAAGCTGCGAGGATAACTCCTGCATCTCTGGTGGAGTGAGGCGATAAGGTGCCTTGGCGATAGGTGCTGCTCCCGGAACCAAATCAATACGTAACTCCACTTGTCTTTCCAGAGGCACGCCCGACAGTTCCTCGGGAAAAACATCCGGAAACTCGCACACTACTGGAACCTCGTCAACCGAACTTGGCCTCCCTGTGGCCACTCTTGTGTCCATCACATAGGCTATGAATCCACTGCATCCATGCTGCAAACTCTGTCTCACCTTGGTAGGCGACCAAAACGCTGACCCACACTGGGTCCCCTCGCCATACATAGTAAGCACTCCCCCACTAGGGTCTCGTATGGTCACCAGCTGTCTCTTGCAGTCAATGACCACTCAAAATTTACTCAACCAGTCCATGCCCACGATGACACAGACATCTCCCATCGCGATAGGAACTAGATCTATAGGGAACTTGACACCAAAAATCTTGAGGACAC